GGCAGTCGTCAGTCGGGTCGCCGTTCCCGTCGTAGTCGTTGTAAGGTGTATCGTCTCCCTGCACGTCGAAGGCGAGGGAGACCAACGGGTTGGGCGGCACATTGGTGAACTCGCACCACTCGTAAGGGCCGTACTCACCGTCCGGGTAGTGCGGCGAGGTGGCGCACGCGCCGCCGTCGGTGAGCGGGCACGGGCCGTCGACCTGGACGCTCAAGCCAGGCAAAAGCGGCGGCGATGGCGGCGGGGGTGACGGTGGCGGCATCTGCGGAGGCGTGTTGGCCCAGCAGATCTTCCAGCCGGCCGCGGACGTCGCATAGTCCGAGCTCCAGGTGATCTTGCCATCCGCCGGCACGATCCCAGTCGGGCCAGAGGTGCCGCAGTACTTCACGCCGCTGACGAAAAGGTAGTCGGGGCAGTCATCTGTGGGGTCGCCGTTCCCGTCATAGTCGTAGTAAGGGTAATCGTCTCCCTCCACGTCGAAGGCGAGGGAGACCAGCAGGTTGGGCGGCACATTGGTGAACTCGCACCACTCGTCAGGGCCGTACTTGTCTGGGTAGCGTGGCGAGGTGGCGCAGGCGCCGCCGTCGGTGAGAGCGCACGGGCCGACGACCTGGACGTGCAGGCCAGGCAGAAGCGGCGGCGATGGCGGCGGGGGTGACGGCGGGGGTGGCGGTGGTGACGGCACGATGCAGTAGATCCAGCCGCCACCATCTTCGCCAGTGTTGACGCCCGAGTCTGCGTCGGCGTACGAGCACGGTATTTGCAGCACAAGGCACCATGGCCGACCATCGCCATCACACGCGGTCGTCTCGCAGCCGTACTGCGTCTCCTGGCACTCTTCAGTGTCGTCGGATGTCCATTCCGGGGCGCAGACACACTCTTGTGGCGGCGCCGGCGGTTGCGGCGTAGGTGGCGGCATCTGCGGCGGCGCGTTGGCCCAGCAGATCTTCCAGCCGGCCGCGGACACCGAATAGTCCGAGACCCAGGTGATGTTGCCATCCGACGGCACGATCCCAGTCGGGCCAGAGGTGCCGCAGTACTTCACGCCGCTGACGATGAGGTAGTCGAAGGGGCAGTCGTCTGTGGGGTCGCCGTTGCCGTCGTAGTCCCAGTCAGGGTCATCGTCTCCCTCCACGTCGAAGGCGAGGGAGACCAGCGGGCTCGGCGGCACATTGGTGAACTCGCACCGCTCCTCAGGGCCGTACTCACCGTCCGAGTAGTTTGGCGAGGTGGCGCAGGCGCCGCCGTCGGTGAGCGGGCACGGGCCGTCGACCTGGACGCTCAGACCAGGCAGATGCGGCGATGGCGGCGGGGGTGACGGTGGCGGCGGTTGGCTAGGAGGCGGCGGCATCTGCGGAGGCGCGTTGGCCCAGCAGATCTTCCAGCCGGCCGCGGACACTCCACCGTCCGAGCTCCAGGTGATGTTGCCATCCGACGGCACGATCCCAGACGGGCCAGAGGTGCCGCAGTACTTCACACCGTTGACGACGAGGTAGTCGTAGGCGCAGTCGGCGTGAGGCTCCGCGTCGAAGGCGATGGAGACCAGTGGGCTCGGCGGCACATTTGTGAACTCGCACCGCTCCTCAGGGCCGTACTCACCGTCCAGGTAGTGTGGCGAGGTGGCGCAGGCGCCGCCGTCGGTGAGCGGGCACGGGCCGTCGACCTGGACGCTCAAGCCAGGCAAAAGCGGCGGCGATGGCGGCGGAGGGGGCGACCGCGGTGGATCGGAATTGCCGAGCCGACGTCGACGTCGTGCCGCGTCGCCCCGAAGGTGGAGGCATGCCTCCGGAAGAACAAGCGTGCCAACCGGCGCCCACGTGCTGCTTTCGCCCACGCTTTGCAGGCAATCGCAGCCGGACTGGCAGAAGCACCAGCATCCCTCGGAATCGCAATGGTACTCGACGTTCGTCGTGGTGGGGTGAGCTCCTTCGCAAGAGTCAACGCAGCGCTGTCTGGAGCAGTCCGAGGCAGGTCCACGACACACAAAGGCGTCGAGATCGCTCGTACACCGACCCGCTGAAGGGAAGCTCTCCCAGGTTGAGTGCGTCGCCTGAGAGAAAACCGCTCCCGGCGGCGTCGCCGCGCCTCCACTGCCGGGCAGGCCGAAGCAGAAGATCAGAGCAGGCGGCAGCATCGTGATGCAAGAGATCTGAGCGGCTGCCAAACTCGGCCGCCGACACAGCAGGCGCACGTTTTCTTTTTTAAATCTCTCTTCTCTCACTCTATGGAAAGAGGTGGAATCGCGCTTCGCCACAGCCAAGAGCGGCTAAGTCAAACGTGACCTCTAGTGCTACGTATCCTCATCACTCCCCCCACCGGCCAGCCCGGCCGGCGAGAGCTGGCTGAGTATCTCCGCCTTAGCCTAAGCACGCTTTTCTCGCCAAGTACTATCTATATTCTTTTGCTTATATTCTCGCCAGACCATCTATATTCCCGAGAATATTCTCGAATATTGAGAATATTTTCCCCACGCGAGAGGTCAGCGGACGCCAAAAATCGCTCTAAAGTAGAGGTTTGTGCTCCCAAACCGCTCAGGAACGTCCAAAACTTAAAGATTTCCGTCTGCATCGACCCAAAACCTACTGTTGAGGGGGCAAAAGAGCTGCTTCGAGAAGCTGTAGTCAAGACCGTTATAGACGCCGCGATGTAACGTCGAGAATATTCAAGAATATCTTGACACTCGAGGTCAACCAAGGTCAAGGGCTGAAGAAATCTCGTAGATTCTTGAGAAAAAGCCGCGCCGGGGCATCTATATTCTCGAGAATATTCTCGAATACGAAAGTGCGCGGGACCATCTATATTCTCGGAGATATTCGAGAATATTGTGCTTAGGCCAATCTCCGCCTCGAGCTCGTCGAGCGCCTCCTCCGCCTCGCTCGCCCCGCCGCGCGTCACGGGCAGGTTCGCGTCGCCCGAAGCCAAATCCTGTCGAGCACCGGGCGTCAGCCCCGCTGGAGGAGTGCCTTGGCCTGCCTGTCCAAGCAAGGGTTTCCGGCAACCCAGAGGGAAACCAGAGGGTCCCCAGCACTTTGCGTTTCCAGAAGTTTCCAGGGAAACCAGAGGGTGTTTGGAGCTCCATTCTGTTTTTCTCGAGTTTCCCTCGGGAAACTCGCGAGTTTCCCTGTGAGTCTGAGAGCTGGTCTGGGGCAAAATCTCGGGCAAAATTTAGGAAATCGGCAAACTACCCGGGTATTTTCCAGGTATACCCGGTGTTTTTCCAGGTATACCCGGTGTTTTTCCAGGTATACCCGCAAAATACCCCGGTATTTTGCCGATTTGGCTGATTTGGGGCCCAAACCAGCAGGCTACGCCCAAGCGTCCACAAAGGGGTTCCTTTGTCCGTTTGTGCAGGGGCTCTCGCCTCTCTTGGTACTAAGGTAAGGTAAGGTAAGGTAAACGTCTCCACACACACAAAGTGGTGGGGCAAGGGGGGGCGACCCTCGCATCTCCACGCCCGGACACGGGCAGGAGCCCCACGGCATTCAAAGTGCAAGCACCGGCCCGGTGCCGTGGGTGAGCAACCTGCACCCCACTCCCTCCCTCCCAGACACAGGACCCACACACAACCCCCACAGCGCGGACGACTACGTGTTCAGAAACACCAAGCAGCGAGGCGAGGGTGAAGGGGTAAGGGGCTGTGTGGGGCAGAATCTACATCTGACTACTCCATCTAGCCTGGGGGGTCGGAGGAGGGGGGGGCAGAAAGGGTAAGATATGGTTGAAGCCAGCTAGCGGTCGGACGCCCTGTCGTCGGAATACTCCTCGGAGCCGGTGTCCTCGTCGTCCTCCTCGCCCGACGCGGAGATCGGGCGAGAGGTCTGCATCGCCTCGCCGGCTGTGAACCTGAACACGGCGTCGGCCGGCGCCGAGGCGCCGGCGGCCGTCATCAGGTGCATGACGAATCTGTCGCGGCATGCCGCATCTATCTCTCCATACTCGGCCAGCTCGGTTGCGAGCCAGTCCGAGGCGACGGTCGTCGCCACGGTCCCCTGGGGAACCTTGGCGTACACCTTGCTGGGGCCGCGCCGATATCCGTCGTCCCTCTCCGGGGGCAGCGAATATTCGACCTCTATTTTGGACCCGGCCTGGCTGCGCGTCTGCGCAGCTGCAGTCCGCAGCCCGGCCATCACGTACTGGATGTTCTCGCGCAGCTGCGCCCGCGGGGCCTCCGCGCGCTCGGCCTCGCTCGCGGCGCGCTCGCCAGCCTCCTTCGCCCGGCGCGCCTTCTGCCGGGCCTTCTTGGCCTTGCGTGCCGCGGCCCGAGCCGCGAGCTGCTCCTTGGTGAGCTCCTTCTTCTTTGGCGCGGTGCGCTCGACGTACGAGCGCTCCGCCGCCTGCACCGACGCGCGGTCGCCCGCGGCCTTCTCGTGCTTCAGGTCGATCTCGATGGTCGCGTAGCCAGGCCTTATCAGCCTGACCTGCGACGCACCGCGTCCTCCAGTTGCACGCGATCGGAGCCATTCCAGCGTCCGCTGCGCATCCCCGGCGGCACGACGGTGGCCGGCGCTTGCGCACCAGCCCCGTCCGCCACCGGGTCCGCGGCCGCGGTCCCTGTCATAGCTACGCGTGCCATGGATCGGCGGTTACAGGCTGTAGGATCGGTACTACTTGGAGAGAGAGAGAGAGAGAGAGAGAGAGGGAGAGAGAGAGAGAGAGAGAGAGAGAGAGAGAGAGAGAGAGAGAGAGAGAGAGAGAGAGAGAGAGAGAGAGAGAGAGAGAGAGAGAGAGAGAGAGAGAGAGAGAGAGAGAGAGAGAGAGAGAGAGAGAGAGAGAGAGAGAGAGAGAGAGAGAGAGAGAGAGAGTTTTTGTTACTTGGATGCGCGCGCGCGCTTCGCGCTCTCTCTCTCGCCACTCGGGACTCTGACACGAGACGTCGACGTCACAACACAGATTCTCGCGCTCTCCAGGACTCCACCAGACAAACACACAAACCAGAAAAGCACACCCCACGCCACAACGTGCTCGCGACCGACCCTGCCAGTGCTCCGATCCCCTCGCCCTCACGCCGGCGCTCGCCGCCACCTCTCCCAGTGCCGCGCCGCGAAGACGGTCAGCGCGAGGGTGGGCGGGAAGCGGACGGGCGACGCGGCCTTGTGAAGGAGGTATGCGAGGCCAAAGGTGCCGAGCCGCTCGTACTTGCTGGCGAGAGTGATGCCGACCGCGCTGAAGAGGGCGGCCACGTTGATGCCCGCCGAGACGAGCGCGTAGAAGAGGGAGATGGACACGAGCGACAGCGAGACGGAGCACGCGAGGTAGGCGCCGCCGTACCGACGCACCGCATCTGAAATGCTCGGCTTGCTCACGCCGCGCCACCACGGCTGCTGGAGGGCCGGTGGATGCTCGACCACGGCGGCTTCATCCGGGCTCGATAGTGGCGGCAACTCGATCACGCCGGTCGGCACGATCACGCCGCCGGTCGGCACGATCACAGCGGCGGTTGGCTCGATCACGGCGGCGGCGGCCGGCACGACAACGGCGGCGGACTCGGTTATCACGCCGCCGGTCGGCACGACGGCGCCCGGTTCTGCGGTATCTAGCTCCGGTGCGACCTGCGTGGCGCCTGCGATCATGATAGCCTGTTGATTGACGTTCAGGCGTAGCACGGGGCTCGCTCCGAACTGGCGCGGCCTCACCACGCACGGGGCGAGAGCCAGCATGAGTCCTAATGAGCTTGAGCGGCGCACAACCTTGGAGTTGGCGTCGCCGATGACCGCCGCGTCCATCTCAGCCTTGACTCTCGCTCTCCGCTCGTCCTCCGTCTCGTCGAGCACGACCACGCTCGCCTCCTCGAAGCCGGCCTCCTCCTCGTCGTCGTCGCCCTCCTCAATCACCGCCGGCCCCACCGCCGCCGCCGCCGCCGCCGCCTCCGGCTCATGCTCCACGAGCGTCGCCGGCGCCATCGGCGGCCGCAGCGGCAGGTCCGCGACGTTGACCTCGCGGAGCAGCGGCGCGGCGGCACGGCGCGCGCGGCGGCTCAGCCGCGGCGGCTGCAGCGACGCCAGACCGCAGGCGCGCTCAGTGAGCGCGCAGCACAGCAAAGCCAAGCCGAGCCGCATGCGCACCGACGCCGCACCGACGCCGCACCTCTCATTACGAAGAGCTCCCGGTTGCAAATACTGCCTCACAGACTCAAAACAAAACAGACTCACAGTCCAAGATGGCGGCTCGCGCCCTCATCTGTGCACCGGCGCGCCTCTCTAAGTCCCGCCTGACACCCAGATACCGCGGGGCGCACTCTTCGACTTGGGCTATTGTCTGCCACCGGGAGGGCGGCCGCGGCGGTGTGGGAATAGGGCGTGCGGCGGCATGTGGACGCGCGTCCAGGTATTTTTCGGGTAAACCTGGACTTTCTCGGGTATACCGGGTTTTACCTGGGTCTCGGGCAGGCACCCCCCTGTCGGTCGAGCAGTCTTGGCTCCCGCGAGGTGTACCCCCCTCTCGGCCAGAGGCCTGGCCAGGGGCACTGTAGGGGGGTACCACCACCCCCCTCATGCTCACACGTCTTGCGAGAATGGGGGCGGCGTGTCGCCGGAGAGCAGCTTGAAGTGCGCCGGCACGGAGTCGGTCGCGGGGCAGCGCTCGACGAACACCTCGCGCCACTTCTCTTCGATGAGCTCGTTGCAGTCGAGCAGCGCGACACCTCTATTTCCTTCACTACGTGCCTCCCCGTGTTTGTAGCCCGGCGTTTGTGCCCCGTTTGTGAGTGTTAGAGTTGTTTGGTATTGCTAAAAATCTCTCTCTCCCGTTTGTGCCGAGTAATACATTTTCATATTCCTCCCTGGCGCTCTCCCCCGCGAAAGGTAGGAGGTCGGTAGATAGTAGGTAGGTAGGTAGTAAGGTGAAGAACAGCCAGGCTCGGACTGGACACCAATGCGGTATGGTATTCACACGAAAAGAAATCCCCGCCGCGCACCCATCTCGGCGCATTGCGCGCGCTGTCGAGCAGCGTTTGGTTGGCTTGCCTCTCACCCTCCCCGCGCTCATGCCCGAGTCCACCAGCGGTCCGAGCCCGCACACCACCGTGGTGGTGCACCCGATCGTGCTGCTCGCTGCCGTTGACCACTACAACCGCGTCGCAAAAAACACAAAACGGCGCGTGGTCGGCATGCTGCTCGGCGAGACGCACAAGGGGGTGACAGACGTCACGAACAGCTATGCGGTGCCCTTTGAGGAGGACGAGCGCGACCCAAACATCTGGCGCGCGCCGCCGACCTCGCCGCCGCGTCAAACCACCGCAGCCCTGAGGCCCGCTCGCGCGCCCGCCCGCAGGTTCCTTGACCACTCCTTCCACGAGGCGATGTTTGCGATGCTGAAGAAGGTCAACGCGCGCGAGAAGCTCGTCGGCTGGTACTCGACTGGGCCCAAGATCAGGCCCGGCGATCTCAAGATTGACCAGCTCGTCCGGCGGTACTGCCAGGTCCGAGACCCCTCCGAGAGAGAGAGACCTCCAAGACACGCACCTCGGCAGGGCTACCCCCGTGCACACGCGTCTCCCCTCCTCCGTGCGCCACATACTCTCGGCCCTCTCCTCCTCGAGCCCCCGCGGCTTCTGCCCCAGCTCACCACGGCCCTCTCCTCCCCCGCCCCTCCCACTCCCTACCCGCGCCCACTGCTCCCCGCTCCCTCCCGCTCACTGCTCCCTCCCCCTCCTTCTCCCTCCCCTCCCCCGCCAGCACCCGGTCCTCGTCATCGTCGACGTCAAGCCAAAGGAGCTCGGCATCCCCACCGAGGCCTACCACGGCGTCGAGGAGATCCTCGAGGGCGCGACCCGCGGCTGGAGGACCAAAGGACCCCGTGCCAACCACCCCCTCCAGCCCTCGGCGCACCCCCTCGCGTAGGCAAGCAGCAGCAGTGGACCTTCCAGCACGTGCCGTGCGAGATCGGGGCCACCGAGTCGGAAGAGGCGCCTCCCACCACCGCACCACCACCACCTCACCGCCACCACCTCATAGCCGCAGCACCACCGACGCCGCCACCGCTGCCACCCCCTGCCCCTGCCGCCGCCGCCGCCTCCCCGCCCGCGCGCCTCGTTCGAGGACACGCCCCCGCAGCGATAAGGAGAGGGTGGGTGTGTTGGGGGAGGGGGGGGGGGGGTGCGGGAGGGAAGGGAGGGGGGGAGGGGGTGCTCCAGAGGGCAGCTCTTGCGCAGAGGACCGCCTCGGAGCCTGCTCGGGACCTGCTCTGAGCCTGCCGGGGCCGCACTGCTGGGGCCGTACTCCGCGTGTCGCACGGCACCTCGCAGGTGGGTGTGGAGCACCTGCTGCGCGACGTCAAGGACACCACAATCTCGACGCTCGCCAACCAGGTCACCCCAAGACCCGGACCCTCACCCCGACTCTACCCCTCACCCCGACTCTACCCCTCACCCCGACTCTACCCCTGACCCTGACCCTGACCCCTACCCCTGACCCTGACCCCGACCCTGACCCTCGCCACTGCGTGCCAGGTCGCTCAGAAGCTTGGCTCGCTCAAGGGCCTCGCGGTGAGAGACAGCCCGAGATGCATCCGAGAAGCGGCCGAGAGGCGGCCGAGAGGCGGCCGAGAGGCAGCCGAGTGGTAGCCGAGAGGCGGCCGAGAGAAGACCGCACAGAGGCTCGCGAGGCAGCCCTCGGCCCTCGGCGCTGCTGCCTGGCTCGGCGGAGCGCGGCTTGCAGTCCGGTGGCCCTTGGTCTGGCGCTGAGGCTCCGGGCGGGCTTCGAGTGTCGTGGCGTCCCCTTCTCGCCTCGCAGGCGCGGCTGAGCGAGGTGGACGGCTACCTGCAGAACGTGCTCTCTGGCCGGCTGCCCGTCAACCACCGCATCATCTACCAGCTGCAGGACAGCCCGGACCCCGGCGCTGACACTGACCCACAGCTGACACTGACCCTAGCCCACCGCATCCTCTACCAGCTGCAGGACGTCCACCACCCTGCTGCTGAGAGCCTGGGCTGCTCCTTCACGTGAGGGGGTGGACTCGTCAGGACGTCTTCAACCTGCTGCCCAACCTGAACGTGCAGGAGCTCGTGCAGGCGTTCGCCATCAAGACCAACGACATGTGCGCACCGCACCGGTAGATGCGGCCATGCGACCTCCTCCGGTCTCCCCAGAACACCGGTGGCCACACGCACTGCTACTCTCTCCCGTGGCATTCCCTGCTCGGCGTCGCAGCCACCTCGGAGTGCGCCGCACGGCCCTGCTGCACGGCCCTGCATTCTCAGCCCGACCGCGGCGTCGACACGCCCCAGGTCTCTGGCCATCTACCTCGCGGCGGTGATCCGCGCGGTGGTGGCGCTGCACCACCTGATCGACAACAAGCTGACCAACAAGGAGAAGGAGTCCGCCGCCGACAAGGAGAAGGAGAAGGAGGAGAAGAAGGAGGAGAAGGACAAGGACGAAAAGCCCGCCGACGAGAAGCCCGACGATACAAAGAAAGGAGCGAAGTGATGTGAGCCGGGAGGAGGAGCAGGTGTCGTCGAGGCTAGCGCTCTCTGGTCAGTTTATTTTACAGTACCGGACGTGAGAGAAACAAGCTTTTCTCGCCGGGCCATGTCGCGCCGTAATTCTTTTGCAGCTTTGTTGTAAAATTCTTTTGACACACTACTCACTACCGTGTAAGAAACGTGTCTCGTTGTGGCTTGTGGTTGTGCCCCTGCAGTGAGCTCGAGAACACGTTAATCGTGTTATACCGGTATGAGACCGGTATATTATTTGGTGATATTTTGATTAACTTTGAAGTGGTATGGTATAGTGGTATGCGAAAGTGGTATGCGGAGTGTTGATCTTGGAGCACTTGGAGTGCAGTCATTAACCGCACATCCAGGGCCGGGGAGCTCAGAAGCGCACCCAGCGGGCCGGATGATTGGCATCGGGTTGCGGGCAAGAGAGCCCTAGCCCCGGGGGTGCGCGTTCGCAGGGCAAGGGCCTTAAAGTAAACACGGGTCTCCGAGGGTTAGCCCCGCGTACCGGGTTTCCCCTTAACTGCAGGACGCCCCCTCTACTCGGAGCTAATGAACACCATACTGCACGCCCCACACCACCACTCTACACTCACTTGCGTCGGCGTCTGAGTATGCACATGCACATGCACATGTGCATGCACATGTGTGTACAAGTTGTTGTGCATGTCCATGTGGTGTGCAGAGAAGTGCGCCCCCCTCCCTGGAAGCGATGTCCGCCTGCTCCAGTCCCATGGCTCCATGTAGCAAAAAATGGAGAATCCGGGCATCGATCCCGGTACCTCTCGCATGCTAGCTCGCTCAGAATATGCACGGTCTCGAATATGCACGGTCTCCAGAGATCCGTCCCACTGCGTCCAAGCGCTTTGAAAATCGTGAGATCATCATCCGCGGCCTCTACAGCAAGGCGACACAAGGCACGATCCGTGCCGTCGCCATCGGCGCCACCTCCTCCCAAGCGTTCGTAGACGAGTCGAATCGTTCTACCCTGTTGATTCGTACGTCCTCCTCTTCCTCGTCCTCCTCCTCATAGTTCTGCCCGCCCACAGCATAAAGCTTGCCGTCGAGCACCGCCACGCCGTGACCTATCCGCGCACTCGCCATCGGCGCAGCCGCCTCCCAAGCGTTCATCTCGGGATCGTACCGCTCGACCGAGCTGAGCGCGCCGCCGTTGTACCCGCCAACAGCGTACAGCTTGCCGTCTAGCACCGCCACGGCGTGTTCAAGCCGCGCCGACGCCATCGGAGCAACCGCCTCCCACGCGTCCAACGCCGGGTCGTACCGCTCCACGGAGCTGCGGGAGGCGCCATTGCTGCGCCCACCCACAGCGTACAGCTTGCCGTCGAGCACCGCCACGCCGTGAGCCTGCCGCGCCGTCGCCATCGGCGCCACCGCCTCCCACGCGTTCGTCGCCGGATCGTACCGCTCGACCGAGCTGAGGCGGCCGACGCCGTCGCTTAGACCGCCAACAGCATAGACCTTCCCGTCGAGAACCGTCACGGCGTGATTCTCGCGTGGCGTCGCCATCGGCGCCACCGCCTCCCACGACTTCGTCGCCAGGTCGTACCGCTCCACCGAGCTGGAAGTTGCGCCGTCAGCCTCATTCCTGCCGCCCGCCGCGTAGAGCTTGCCATCGAGCACCGCCGTGCCGACATACGTGCGTGCCGTCGGCATCGGCGCCACAGCCTCCTCCTCCCACTCATTCGTAGACGGGTCGTACCGCTCCAGCGAGTTGAGGAACTCGTGGTCGATGTCTTGGCCGCAGATCACGAGCAGGCGCGGCCTCTCGCGCTTCTTCAGCGTCTCCTTCCAGCCGCGGCGCCACGCGCGGCACGTCCCCTTGATGGCGTGCTCCGTGGTCGGCAGCTGGGCGAGGATGTGCGGGGCGAGGTCCGGCGAGAGGAGGACCTCGGAGAGCACCCACTCGGGCTGCTCCACGAGCCGTGCGGCGTGCTCCTCCGCCACGCGCAGCGCGGCGTCGCTCGCGCCCGCCTGCGCCTCGATGATGGCGCACAGCTGCTCTGGCGAGAGGCCCGCGACGCGCGCGCCGATGCGGTGGGAGGCCATCGGTGCGGCGCGGCCTCGCGCAACGATTTCTTTTTCTTGTAATGGCCTGGCTGTTCTTCACCTTACTACCTACCTACCTACTGAGGTTCTCGAGGTTCTCGAGGTGGATATCCTTTGGCCGCGTTGGGTAGCGAGGATTGGTGTAACCCGAGCCACGGAGGCGTGTTTTCTGGCGGCCGACCGTCAGTGCACGGAGTTGCCACTTCTCCGACTGCCCCGGCTAGTTCCCGAGGCTCGCCGGGTTTCCCCTACGTCACCCAGGACCTAGCGCGGGTGGGTTGGAGGGGGCTCGCCCCGTTCCTCCCCATCGGGCCGCGTGAGCGGCCTCGCCTCGCAGATTCGTTTTTCGTGCCTGGGTCAGGCGCGCGGGGCATCCCCCGGGTCGCTCGACCAGCGATCCGAAGAGTGGCCGCTATGCGAGGGAAAGAGCGGGGCCCACGGGGTACGCCTCCGTCCGGCCCCCTCCGAGGGGGGAAGGGAAGTGCGGGGTCCCCACGGCGCCTCAGTTCGGCCCTCCCGAGGGGGGGAGGGGAGCAAGGGGGTGGGGGGATTGGGGTGTTGGGGAGGGGTCTCGGGTTTCATGTGGCTAAAACTTGCCTTTCGGGGAGGGGCCTCGCGCCAAGCGCAATTGAATGCTGCCTGACCTCTTCCCCTCCTCCCTCGAGGCAGCGAGTAGGCAGCGAGAGGAGGTCTCGAGCGCCTATATGAAGGTATGTGAGATGGTGATGGGAATGGGTGGTCGGTCGGTCGGGCGGGCGGGCGGGCGGGCGGGCGGGCGGGCGGGCGGGCGGGCGGGCAGGCAAGCGGGGAGCGGCGGGCGGGCGGGGCGGAGCGGGCGGGCAGGGTTATCGGGGGAATCGTGTCCACAATCAGCGGCAGCGGAGCAGCAGCCGCAGCAGCAGCTGCTGCAGCAGCAAGCAGCAGCCTGGTGTACCGACTCCACCGTCGAGCCGCGATCGCTGCCGCCCGCGACACCGCCCGCCGCGTCAGATTGCCGCGACGCGCGCCTCGAGTCGAGTCGGAGAGCCGCGCCGCACCAGCAGCAGCATCTGCACCACCACCAGCAGCAGCAGCACCACCACCACCACCAGAGAGAGAAGCGCACCTGCCCGACGCCGCCCGCCTCGTCAGACGCTCGCGACGCGCGCGTCGAGCCCAGTCGCAGAGCCGCGCCGCGCCAGCAGCAGCATCGGCACCAGCAGCAGCACCATCACCACCACCAGCAGCAGCAGAGAGAGGCAGTGCAGGCGCAGAAGCGCTCGCAGAGCGGCGCGCAGCGCCGCGCACGCCACGCTGCGGACCGTCGGACGAGCGCAGCGTACGTCGGCGGCGAGCCGCGTCGCCAGCCGTCTCGCGAGAGAGCGGCGCCGCCGCGTGCGCGCAGCAGCCGCCGCGGCAGAGGCGAGCCGCGGCGACGTCCGCACAACGGATACTGCCCCCCGGCCATTGGCGGTTCTACACGCTCCTAATGTGAGGGATGATGCGTTATCTTTTTTTGCTTCACCCTTTTACGTACACATTTCGAGCGAGTGAAAACCAACTCCTGAGCACGGCGCCGCAGGCGCCTGTTGATAGGTCCAGGTGATAGCCCTGGATGGGCAATGCATTCGCCTACTTGGGCCTCAGATCGCCCGACCGCGGCCCGGTGCTCTGTGGTCGGATTTGTGACGCCGCCGCACCGCGCCGCGGCCGGGGGCCCGCCGGAGGACGAGGATGGCCGTGGCGGACCGGGACGAGCTCTGGGAGGTTGAGTGTCAGTGAGTATATTGTAGAGGCCACCCATGTGCACAATATCCTGACTGAGAGCTAAGCCAGGGGAGGCGATGTCGGGGCCGTACAGCAGCTTGATGGTGCTTCGCCGGCGTAGAAGCGGCCGCGGAGGACTCCGGGTGTCTAGCTGCAGACGCCTTTGAGCGCCTGCAGACCAACCGACTCGAGGATTCACAGACCTTGTTATTGACAAGAAAATACGTCCGATGGCGCTTTGCGCTGGTCTATGAGAGGTTGAGGTGCGAGCCCTGGAGGCCCTGGGGATGGGGGGAGACTACCCGCGGGCCTAGAAGGCCCGCGCGCAGGGGGGTGGGACATTGAGATTGAAGGCGGAGGTGGAGGTGGCCGAGGCTCGGCGAGCACGGCTGGGAGCGGCAGAGGGTTCAGGATCCGGGCAAGCGCCTAAAAAAGAAAGAAAGAAAACACACAACCCAAGGGAGGGATGGGAGAACGGCACGCCGCCACCACACAGGGATTTTAAGGAGAGGAGTGTGGAGCGCTAGCCGTCGCCCACCCTGGGCAAGCGCCTGTGAGAGAGAATTCTTTCCTACACGCCGTATGATCGCGTGTGTTCGGCCCACTGTGCTCTTGCGATTGGTGAGTGGTGCGTAACCCCGAGGATACCTCTGGGCCATGCCTGTGCTGATCAACCTCATCGACAGTAGTGACGAAAGCGATGAGGATGAGGTGCCAGCGGCAGCCCAGCAGCCACCGCCGCCCGCAGCAGCCCAGCAGCCGCCGCCGCCCGCAGCAGCCCAGCAGCCGTCGCAGCCCGCAGCAGCTCAGCAGCCAGCGGCGCCCGCAGCAGCCCCACAGCCAGTGCCTCCAGCGGCAGCGCCACAGCTGGCGGGGCCGTCGTCGGCACGCCCGGCGCCTGCATTGCGCACGCAGCCGTCGCAGGGCGCTGCGGCAAGCAGTAGCAGCAGGATGGAGAGCGCCGGCTTGATGAGGCTCGTCGCGGCCAGCGCGCGGCCCGATGCCGAGGGGCGTGGCGCCGCTGGCCAGCACGGTCGGCGGGACGAGCCTGGAGGAGGCGGCAGGGAGGCGAGGCTCGGCAGGGACGCGCGGCGGCCTGTCGCTGACGCCATCCTCTTCCTCCCCAAGCTGCCTGACTCGGTGGACAGGGACGCGCTGCGGCGCCTCTTCTCGGTGCGCCGCCCCGCGATCCCGCCTCCCACCGGCGCTCACTCCTCTGCCCTCCGTTTCGCGACGCGGCTTTCAGGCGTTTGGGACGGTCGTGGACGTCAGCCGCTCGCGCCGGAGCGGCACAGTCTGCTTCCAGACCGGCGCAGAGGCGAAGAGGGCACTCGCGGCGGTGAGTGCTGCGACGCCGTCGCCAGAGGCGGCTGCCGCTGAGCCGCTGCCCCTGTGTGTCGACGACTCCTCTGTCGCCCGCGTGACGCAGGTGAGTGCGCCGGAGTATGCTCCGGAGTGGTCTCCTCCGCTGCCGGCTCTGAGAGCGGTCTCGCCTCCGCGTCGAGAGAGAGGCGGGAGAGGGACTGTGAGAGGGGCCCGCGAGTAGGCCGGCGAGCTGTCTCGCCTCCGCGTCGAGTTCGCTCTCATCGACAAGCTCCCCAAGGGGATGCGGGGCAAGGTGTCGACGGACCACAACCACAACCAAACCACAACCACAACCACCCCACTGACCCTGACCCTGACCCTGACCCTAACCCGAGGGGATGCGGTGCAAGGCGTCGGGCCTGCCGGCCAGCGGCGGCGGCGGCGGCGGCGGAGGTGGTGGTGGCAGTGGAGGCGGCGGCGGCGGTGGCGGCGGAGGCGGCGGAGGCGGCGGCGGCGGCGGAGGCGGCGTCGGCGGAGGCGGCGGTGGCGGCGGCAGCAGCAGCAGCAGGGACAGAGGCAGCAGCGTCGTGGGCGGCGGCAACGGCGGCGGAGGAGGCGGAGACGGGGGCGGCGGCCTTTCTTCTGCGGGGGGCGGCGGCGGGAGGGGCGAGGAAGAGAGGGCCGAGGAGGCGATGCCCGAGCAGGGGCGGCGCCCTCTCGGCTTGCCGGCCGCGGTGAGCTGTTCTGTGCTTGCTGTTGAACAGGAGGTGGTCAAGGAGTTGAGCGCCATCCTCCGGGAAAAGGGGCTCGCGATGTCAGAGCCGGCGGTGGCGGAGCCGGGTCGAGGCGGCTCCTGCTGGACCGTGCACCCGTTGAAGAGTCGAGACTTGACTCTCAGGTTGTGGAGCTGCGCCGCCTCGAGGCGGCCCTGCTCGACGAGGTCGGCCCGGCCCGCTCGTCCCGGTGGCGGGCGGTCCTCCAGCGCTCGGGCGGGCTTCAGGCGCCGCTGCGAGGCAGGGGCGCAGAGACAGAGGCACCCCACCGGCTCGCGAGTGGTGCGCGCTTGAAACAGGCGCTGCTCCGCGGCAGAAGCTCAACCTTCCTACTGACGCGCGTCGGGTCCGGGCCAAGCGCTCCCGCCGGAGTGCAGCTGCGGGCTCAGCCGGCGGGCAAGCGGCCGAGAGAGGACGGCGAGCTGCCGGCGCCCTCCCAAGCCGCCGAGGCTGACTTGCATCTGGCGCAGTAGCCCACGGCTGAGAATCAACTCATTAGGCGCCCTCCAAGCGACCGGGGCCTCCGGGCTCGCTTCCCTCGCCCAGCGGCGGCGGCGCGGGAGGCTCAAAGGCCGCCGCAGCGCAGCGGTGGGGCGGGCGAGGGGCGGGGCCGAGCTGCTGTGCAGAGCGTTTTCACGGCCGCAGCTGTGAACAGGTGGGACGAGCGGGGCGCGGCGCGACGCATCAGCGGCGAGGCTGGAGAGGGGGTTGCCAGCGGCGCGAGCGGAAGAAGCGGCGGGAGAGGCGATGCGGGCGGCGGCGGCGGCGGCGGCGGCAGCAGCAGAGACAGAGGCAGCAGCGTCGCGGGCGGCAGCAACGGCGGTTGTGGCGGCGGCGGCTGCGGCGGCAGCAGCAGCAGCGGTGGCAGGGTGGGCGGGGTGGGCAGCGGTAGCAGCGGCAGCGGTGGTGGCGGCAGCGGCAGCGGCAGCGGCGGCGGCGGCGGCGGCAGCGGCGGCAGCGTGCAATGCAACGGTGTCGGCGGGCGAGCGCGTGGCGAGTCGCTTCCTCCGGCCCGCCGTCCAAGCTCCACCCGGCTGTGTGTGAGCGAGGGGTCGCGCGAGCACCTCGCGACTCTCGTGCTGCGCGAGCTGTGCAAGGCGCGAGATTCGGCCCTGAGATCGCCCCAGATCTCCCGAGATCGCGCCCCAGATCCCAGAGATCGCCCCAGGTCGCCCAAGGTCGCCCCAGGTCGCCCGGCTGCACCCGACACTGCCCGAGATCGCCCGAGATCGCCCGAGACCACCTCGCGAGGTCTCGAGGGCGGGGCCCCGCCCTTCTAGCAGACTGCGACAGGCTAGGCGGGTGCCCGGGGTCATGGTGTGGTCGTGGCTGGTAGGTGGGACCCTCGGGCAGCCGCGACGCCGCGGAGGGCGGCACGGACTCGCCGCCCCCGACCGAGTTCGGCGGCGACCTCGAGCATGGCGCCGAGCTGGCGCGAGCGCGCAGGAGGTATGTGCAGTTCTGGAGGCGCGCTGCTGCTGCTGCTCTCGCAGAGGCCGCCGCCCGGCCGATTCGTGAAGCGTTCAAGTGTGTGCACCAGGCCGCTGCTGCTGCTCGAGCTCTCCGAAGGCGCGCTGCAGGAGCTAGAGGGGCGACGCTCGGCCGGCGGCGCAGATCGGAGACCGGTCGCGACAGTCTGGTCGACGGCTCCGAAGCCGCTGCTGCTCGGCGTGCAAGGTGTGTCGTGGCACCGTCCCCCCCCTCCGCGATCCAAAGACATGGGTGTGTTTCTCCTTTTTTTCCCAGCCCCGAGGCTTTTCTTTTCTTTCTTCCCCCCCCCCCCCCCCCACCACCCCCGCCCTGCCCCCCCCCTCGACGCCTCAGCCCCCCCGCAGGCGAGAGCGGCGAGGTAGCGGCGTGGGAATGCGAGGCGCGCGTGTCTTGCGACACACCCCACCCCCTCGCGGAGTGGGACATCGTCCGCCTCAGTTGGGGCGGCGGCGGCCGTGGCCGCGGCGGCGGCGGCCGCGGCGGCGGCGGCGGGGCGGGGCGGGGCGTGCCACCCTCGAGCGCGCTCGGTGTTGTGCGGAGGGCCAAGGCGTGCGACGAGACGGGGGCGGAGGCGCCGCAGAACGGGGGGCGTCGCGGCGGCGCGCGGATTGCCGCACCGACCGATCGGTGCCTGTGTGAGACGGTGGTGGAGTGGCTGACGTGGTTGGGCGGTTAGGCGCGCGGCTGACGCACCGGCAGCTCGCCGTCTGGCTGGTCGAAGGCAGCGGCTGGGGTGTCGTCGGCCTCGGGCAGCGGGGGCCATCGGGCGGCACGCTCGAGGTGTCGCTGCTCGAGGCGGCTAGGACGCGACCGCTCTGCGACACGTCCCTAATGTGTCCCTGGCCTGGCTCGGAGGTGTCGCTCCTCGAGTCGTGCACGAGCGAGTGGAGAGAGTGGGTGGCGCTCCACTCGCTCGGCTCCTCCGCCTCCTCCTCCGCCTCCCCCTCCTCCTCCTCCTCCCAGCTCAAGGGGCCTAGCCCGGGCTTGTGTGAGGCGCTGCTGCTCCGCGCGGAGGGGCAATGCCCGGAGCTTTCCCCGACCCCTCTTCCGCGCGCTCTCCAACAGGCGCTGCTGCTCCGCTCGGCACCCGAAGGGCGCGCCCCCGCCCCGCCCCGCGGCGGCGGCGCCTCGGTGACGGTGGCGGCGGTGGGCCGAGCTGGTCGGTGGATCGCGAGTGAGTCACATGTGAACGCGTGGGCTCCTAGGCGGCGGGGCGGCGGTGGGCCAAGCGGATGAGGCACATCGAGACGCTGCGCAAGAGGAGCGCGCACAACGAGGCGCTGCCCCACGCCGCCGCGGGGCCGTCGAGTCCGCGCATGTGCTCACCCGTGACGGGCGGCTGAACAGGCGCAGTACCAGGCGCTGCGGACCGTCGCGGAGCTCGCGCACCGCAGGCACGAGAGGGGGCGCTGGTGGCTAGTGAAGGGGCAAGGAAAGGAAGGGGTGGTGAGCCGAGAGAGTCGGTCCGTTAGGCACGAGGGCGTGGTGCTCGTGCAGGGGCCGCCAGGCACCGGCAAGACGACCACACTCATCGGCCTGACCAGCGCGCCGCACCTCCGGCCCGGGCAGCCGGAAGGGGTTCCGAGAAGGTTCGCGGCTCATCGCATAGGCCTGATCAACGTGCTCCACAACGGCGCGACCCAAGACTACTACGAGGCGCTCCTCTCCGCCTCGCGCCGGCTGGCCGCCTCCACCCCTTCCCCCCCCCCTCCGGGCGGCGGCGGCGGCGGCGACAGCCGCGTCGACCGCCTCTCCGCGGCAGTTGCTAGCATCGCGGCGAGCGGCGCGCCGGCCGCCTCGTCGCTGCCTCTGCCGTCTGTGCCGCGCGGCGGCCGCATTCTCGTCTGCGCGCACTCGAACGGCGCCATCGACGAGCTGGTGAGCCGCATCGTCGGGCAGCAGCCTCCGTTCCTCGACGAGTACGGCCGGCAGTACACCCCCGCCGTGGTGCGGCTCGGCTCGCGCGGCGCGCAGTCGCCGTGCAGCCTCGACGTGCTGGTGGAGCAGCGCGAGACGGAGGAGCCGCGGCCTCTCCCCAGGAGCCGGCTGCTCTCGAGTCGAGAGTGAACGAGTCCCCCCACCCGCTCGGCTAGGTGCGCCACGCGACTTTTGCCCAGGGCGGCGCCGACCAGCTTCGGCAGGCGAAGTGGCGAGAGCTCAAGGAGCACGCGAGACACGCGGCCGCGTGCGCCGCCGAGCGAGCCCGCCTCGAGGGCCACGCCCTCGACCTCTCGCGTGACGACGCCGCCGAGTCGAGCTTGTCCTGCCCTGCCTGCGGCTGGTCCGCTGGCTTGGGGATCAGGCGCGGGAGGCGGCGCACGCGAGGGGGGCGTGAGCGGCGTCTCTTCACAGCCGGAGGCGTGAGCAGGCACGCCGAGCACGTGGAGCAGCGCAAGGGCGAGGCGGAGGCGGGCGTCATCTGCTCGTACGACCGGGCGGGATCCGAGTGCCGCACCGTGCCCACCCCGACCCCTCCGTTGAAGCTTCCCGGAGCCTTCTTGCAGGCGGGCCGCGAGTGCCACCGCGTTCTGAACGCGCTCGCCAACTTGCCCAAGAGCGCCGAGCCTCGCGGGCGAGCCCGCTCCGAGACGCGCGCGCTGGAGGCGCTCGCCCCTTCAAAAGGCGGAGCGGCCGGGAGCCTTCTCGGAGCCTTCTCGGAGCCTTCTCGCAAGCTTCCTGTCAGGCGCTCGCGCTCGCCGAGGCGGAGATAGTGTTTTGCACCATGTCTGCCGCGGGCGAGAAGGCGCTGCGCGAGGCGCCGCCGCGCCGCCTCGAGACGGCGCCGCTCTCGTCGTGCCCTCTCCATCCAATCTCGGCCGATCTCCGCTGAGTAGGTTCCCGGCGGCTTCGAGACGGCGCCGCAGCGCGATGCAGTGGGAGGAGCGCCGAGTTCGCGCGAGATGAGCCGAGGCTGGCCCCCCGAGGCTAGGTGCTGCTCGACGAGGCGGCGCAGGCCACCGAGCTCGCCGCCCTCGTCCCCATGTCCCTCGGCGCGCGGCTCGTCTGCCTCGTCGGCGACCCCGCGCCGGCTGCGCGCGGCCGTGCTGAAGCCGGCCCCTGAAGGTTCGAGGAGCGCCCGAGTAGGAGACCCGCGCCAGCTGCCGGCGACCGTCCTCTCGGAGGCTGCGAAGCGGAGAGGCTACGCCCGCTCTCTCTTCGAGCGGCTCGAGCAGCTCGGCCGCTCCGCCCCGCTCTCTGTCCACATCGCGCGTGATCCGCCGTTGATCGTGTTGACCTAAGAACGAATAGGCCGCCCCGTGCTGATGCTATCCACGCAGTACCGGATGCACGGTGCAGACCGCCAGCTCCCGAGACCGCCCGAGAACTCCCGAGACGACCCGACCTCGCCCGCTCCCAGGCGCGATCCGCCAGTTCCCGTCGCTCCACTTTTACGGCGGGCTGCTGCGCGACGCCCCCTCGATCACGCACATGATGCGCCAGTGCCCCGGCACCGAGGGAGCCGCGCCGTCGCCCCTTCCCGTGAGGCGTCCCCGGACCTCTCCCGGACCCTTTCCCACAGGCTCCGAGGGGGGCGCGCCCTCCTACCTCAGCGGCGCAGCCGGCTGCCAGCCGGAGCGGCGAGCCGGTGGCGGCGGCGCCGTCGGTCGGCTGGCGCCGCACCTCTGCAGCCCTGTGAATCGCCACAGCCGCTAGACTCGCAGCTGCCTGGGCGTTTCACCCGCAGGCGCCCTACCTCTTCTTCAGCCTGCTCGGCGGGAGGCAAGACGCGTCCGACAGCTCGCGGTCGCACTCGAACGAGGGAGAGGTGTGAACAAGGAGGTGTCTAGGAAGTGTCTAGGAAGTGTCTAGGTCGCACTCGAACGAGGGAGAGGCGGCGGTCTGCGTCGGCCTCCTCCTCGCGCTCTGGATGCGGCAGGCGCGGCAGCCGCACGGCTGGGGCGAGCTGTACAAGCGCGTCCTCCGGCTCACGCCGTGCCCTCACACGACCCACGGGCCTTGGCACACGAGCCATCTGGACAGCGTGCTGCAGGCGCGTCGTGCTGCTCACGCCGTACACGCGCCAGCAGAGGGTGCTGCACAGCCTGCTCGACCGGGTGTGCGAGGCGCTCGGCTTACCGGCCGACTCCTCGTGCTGCCGGGGAGCGGCGCCTCGATCACGCACTCTGGTGCCGAATAGGCGCTCGACTTGCCGGCCGACGGCGCCTCTCCGCTCGACTGTCGGCGCGCCCTGCAGGGGCCCCTCCCACGGACACGCCTCGCCTCTCGCGCCCTAGGCGTCCTCGTCTCGTCGATCGACGCCTTCCAGGGGCGCGAGGCGGACGTCGTCATCCTCTCGTGCGTGCGCGCAGGCCCGAAGCAGGCCTCCATCGGCTTCCTCAAGGACGAGCAGCGCCTCAACGTGCCGCCCCTCTCCGCTCGGCACGGGGCTCTCTGCCGGAGGAACCGAGCGTCGAGGGCGCGCTCTCGCGTAGGTCGCACTCACGCGGGCGAGGCACGCGCTGTACGTCGTCGGCGCCTCCGGACTCGCACTCCCCAGCGTGCCACCCCCTCCACCTCCCACTAACGGCGGGCGGTGAGTCGCAAACAGGCGCCGAGGAGTCGCTCTCCGACGGCTCGAGGGACTGGCGCGCGCTGCTGGAGGACGCGCGCCGGCGCAGCTGCCTGTGCAGCCTCGGGCTGGCGCGCCAGGCTGCAGAGGCGGCCAGGGCGGCGCGGGAGGCCGCAGGGCCGGCCCGGGCGGCGAGGGGCGCTGCGGAGGCGGCGGCGGGCAGGCTGCGTCCGCAGGCGGAGATGGCGGCGCAGGCGGCGCGGGAGGCGGCGGCGAGTGAGCTCAGGCAGGTGTCGAACCAGTTCAAGCGGCTCGCCGAGCTGCTCCTGGCCAAGATCCCGGAGACCCTCCTCGACGGCACGCGCGAAGGGGACGCCGCGCCGCGGCCGCCCCAGCTGACCGAGCTGCTGCCGCTGCCCGGCCGCCCCGGCCTCAACTCGCCGCAGAGGACGCCACTGCGAGCTTAGGCCTTGCTGCGTTTTTGCTACGTACTAGAAAAGGGTGAGTGCGCACGACACGAAAGTGCCCACTCTTACACCAGACAACGAGATCTCATGACACGCACGACCTCATGACACGAAATACCGGATCACGAAACACGTGAGGCGCCCCGAGCGCCGAGGTGTGCACAGTGCAGGGGCAGGTGGCGCGGCGCGGTAAAATAATGCGGGTATAGCAACGATCACGCAGAGAGACGAGAGCAGGGCAGACCCAGGGAGGGGGGAGTCGGAGCAGACGGCATCGGCCGCCGAGGGATGTAGTCGCAGGCTATACCATGTAGTCTATAAGTCGACTGGTGTGTGTCGTCGTGGTTTCGTATTAAGAATACTCACTCACTCACACTCGCGAGGCAGTGATAGCCGTTGAGGAGAAAGGGCGTAATACATCGCGGACAGCCCCGGTATCCGAAGCCTCTCGAGCTTGCTTGAGAGCTTGAGGTCGGCCTCCGCCCCGCAAAATAACCCCTCCGTCCACGTGGCAATATCTCCCGCGTGCCGAATCGGCGCGAGAGGGGGCATCCGCGGGTCAGGCGGGGGGGGGGGCTCCCTCCTGGATGATGATTCTAGTTCTTCCCTCCATAAGATAAGGCCACCTCGAATGTGCATAGAGGTGGTCATTGTACATTGTAACTTCGACTGGCCTGCAGCATCGAATGAGCCGAAACGAGGCACGAGGGCGACGCACTTCGTACGCTACGAGGAGATACAATTAGGCAAGGCAGCTGCGCAGGTGATGGTCCTGTTTGCAGAGAGGGGAGTCAAGGAAGGCCAAGAAATCACATGGTCATATGGGGACTCATACAGGAGCCACCGCAAGGAGATGGGATACAGGGCGGGGACCAGGGCGGATCCGAACGCAATAACACCCCAGCAAGCGCGGACGGCATTCGCGAGATACTGCAAAAAGATAGACGTGACGAAGGAGGAGCTAGCGTGGAACTTTGGATGCATATCGGCAAGCCAAAATAACGAGCAGGAGGCTGTCCTGGTGCGTGAGCTAATCCTGAGCAACAATAAGCGACTGTACCACGGAGCACAGAGCGCAGCAGACAGGACGGCGGCGACGGCGGACATGGCAGAGACGAGTGTGAAACAAAGGGCGGCGGGCATGGAGGGCGGTAGCGACGGGGATGGAGACGGTGACGGTGGCGAGGGAGAGGAAGGGGGTCCATTAACACCAGACAGCGAGAGGGGCAGGGAGGAAAGGGGGAGAGAGGAAGCCAACGCGACGTGCGCAGAGGATGAGGATATAAACTGGGACGACGCAGCGGAGGGGATAGGCGAGGGAATCGAGGGACCGGAGGGCTTTCGCGACAGCGACGATGACGACGAAGAAAGGGGAGGGGACGGAGGGGCGACACGCAGGAGGAGCGAAATCGCTAACGGCCCGAGCAGAGAGGGCGACGGCGGGGCACGAGGGAACAACGGAGACGCTACCGATGACGCGAACCGAGGCACGGACGCCGGCGGGGACGGGGAGGGCGACAGCGACGTCGAGGTTGACGCACCCGTATCGAGAGCGCCACCCAAAAAGGGGCGGACAGCCATGGAGGTCTCCGAATGGAGGGCGAACGGCACGATGCGAAAAGACAGGGCGAGGCGGATGGAGAAAGAAGTGCCGAGAAGGCCATGGTGGAGGGGAGGGACGGGAGGACGAAAGAAGGGCGAGGAGGACGAGCGGCCCGCACAGACCGCGAGCAGACAGCGCCTGCTGGCCATTTCGAGACATTCGCCAAGAACGCTAGCTACATGGGAGGGCTTCGTGAAGGATGGATTGAAAAACATTCGAACAAAGAAGAGGCGACGGGAGGAACCGGCGGAGGATGCAGTGACGTGACACACACACACACACACACACACACACACACACACACACACACACACACACACACACACACACACACACACACACACACACACACACACACACACACACACCGCTCACCCACGCGCACTGGGCCTTGCACTTTGAATGCCGTGGGGCTCCTGTCGTCAGACGTGGAGACGCGAGGGTTGCCCCCCCTTGCCCCACCACCTCGTGTGTGTGGAGAAGTTTACCTTACCTTGCCTTACCTTACCTTGTACATTGAGAGGGGAGTCCTAGAGACTGAGGGGGTTGGTCGTTGGAGGTTATTTTGTCTGTTACTGGCACTGGGCCTGCTCCTTCGGGGGTGGTGACCAGGGTGGTGTAGACTGGTCCTTCCCGCTTCCCTCTTAGGTTTGCCACACCAACACACGTTCGCTTGCGCCTGTGTGTTGACAACCGGTTCGGGGAGGGTCGGCCCGCGGGCAGATCCTTTGCGCGCCTAACCGTGAGGCGTAACAGCGGCCCCGAAGGGTATCCTGACACGGTGACCGGCGCCGCCCCGGAGGGAGGACCTTGTCGTAGCGTCGACATCCTGCCTGGGTGTGTGCGGTCTGAAGTAGGCAAGGGTGTCTTGGGGAGGACACGAGGGCGTTTCGACACGGTGGTGAGGTTTGGGGTGATCGGCTTTCCGTTTCAGCCAAACTCAAACGTGCTACCAACCGAGGATGCATCCATGCGACGCCGCCGCCATGGTAGGAGCACGGGGGGCCGAGGATACAGTCGCTCGCAAGGAGGGCTGCACAAAATTAGTAGGTGAGGGCGGTGACGGCGGCGACGACGGCGAGGAGCGATCGCAGGCTGCAGCTCGGGGCCGGGCCACCGTGTCGGCGTGGGTGTCGAAGAGGGCGAGGGCAAAGGGCGGCAGGACGACGCAGATGAGGCTGAGAGAGATCGGCCACAGCACGTGGCCGACAAAGGGGAGATCGGGTCGGTGAGTGCGGTGGAGATGGTCTCACCGGTGGGGTAGCGGCAATAGCGGGTATGAGCTTAGCGGAGCTGAGCGGGATCGTGCGGTCGATGTGAGGGAGCAGGTTGAGGGCAAGAACCGCGTAGAGTGTCGACATGATGGTAATGGAGCCAAAAATGGCCCCATCAAGCCCCACTCGGAGGGGAGAGGCGTCACCTTCTCCCACCATACCGCTCACGTCTGCCCCTTGTGCCGTCTTGGTCGCGCCCTTGCCGTCGAGGCCTCCGCGGCTCACCCACTTGTGCCACGGCTGGACGTCGCGGAGGAGGTACGAGGGCACGAGGGCGCGAGTGTGACACAAGGTGTGTGCGCGCGCGCTGCGGAGTGCGGTACAATGCGAGAACGAGAAAGCCAAAGAGATAAAGAAAATGAAGACCCGAGCATAGGCCGGGGGAGGACAGACAAGTCACAACCTTTGCAGGCTTTGCAAAAGCGAGGCGTAGGGGGCGCATCGCGGCGCGGAGAGGGCCTAAAGGGCGGCGAATTCTTTTGCGCGGCGACGCCGCGATGGTTAACCCTCGCTCGAAGCATGCTACAAGACACAAATTCCTGCTTCAAACGATTGGTCAAGACCCTCCGCTCGGCGTGGGGCATGATCAGCGTGGGGCAGGAGCCGACCGCACACCTCAGTTACAGTAACCCAAAACAACCTGACGTGGCTGCGGCAAACATTGGCAAGGGGCACAGGCGCCTCGGCCGATTTGAAGCTTACGAGCTCGCTTTCGAGCAAGGGCAAGGACGGAGCGCTCGGCTGGAAGGGGGCGTGTGTTCGCTTCGGCAACACGGAGCCCGGGCTGCTCAATTTGGTCAAAGGACGCGGCAAGTACTCGCCGTCGGGAGCGACGGCAGCGGTGGTGGCGGAGGAGGAGGAGGAGGAGGAGGCGGCGGAGGCGGAGGAGGCGGGGGCGGAGGAGGGTGCGGACGCCCCCACGGGGTCGCTCGAGACGCGGCTGCATGGCGATTACCGCTTCGCGCGGGAAGAGGATGGCGACCTGCGTTTGTTCGATTTCGAGACTTCCGGAGGCTTTGGAAAGGATGAGGAGGAATTGGGCAGTGCGCAGAAAGAATTATTTTGCTTGTCGTGCCAGTCTCCTCTACGACGCGGCCAGAATTCTTTTGCGCGGCGCTTCCATTCGCTCTCGGCGCGCGCATCGGCGCCTGTCAGTCGAAGGATGAAGCACGCAACCAGAGAGTGCCTCTCTCGAGAAGGCACCAGCGCCGGCTCGGCGCGGCTGCCGCCGAGCGTGGCCTCGCGCACGTACCTCTACGCCTTTGTCGTGGCGTCTGCGCCCGAGCTCCTCGCCCACTTTATCCATCATTACCGCGAGCTTGGAATCGATTTTGCCGCGCGCTCGCGCTTGATCGTGGACCCTGCGCGTGGCGATGAGGCGACGGCGGCGTTGGCGCGCCGCGAGGCTGCGTCCTTTGCCCTCCTGCGCGAGGCGGGCGTGCCTTACTCGAACAATACGCAGGGCACGTGGTCGAGCAAGCTCAAGTCCGTCCTCGTCAACGAGTACCTCCGCGCGCTGCCCGCGGACGCGCTCCTCATGTACCCGGACCTGGACGAGTTCTTTTCGCTGCCCTGCGGCCTCGAGGCGATGCTGCCGCCCGATGCGCGCGTCAACCTGCAGGCAAAGTTCGTCGACCGGCTCGCGCCGCACTGGGCGTGCGCCCCGCAGCCGCGCCTCGTCGGCCCCTCCGGCCGCAGGCCGATCGCCACTTCCATCCACGCGCAGTTCCCCGTGCAGTGCGACGTCGCCGCGTTCCTGTCGTCCTCCCAGTCGTCGTCGGTGTCGCTGCTCGACGCCAAGCGGGTGCTCGTCTCCGCGCGCGACGCGCACGGCCGGCTCGTGCAGTACCGGACGGCCCACTCGGTCACGTGCGTCACGGCGGCGGGCGAGCCGGACGCGGCGCGGGCGGCGGCGAGCAAGGGCGGCCGGCCCTCTGCCTGCAAGCTGTCGCAGCCGCTGAAGACGGCCGAGATGCCGCGCATCGCGCACTTCCGCTTCAGCCACGAGGGCGTCGCCCTGCTGTGGCGCAAGCTCGACCGCTACCAGAGGAACAAGAGGGCTGCGGCCGAGGAGCCGCGCGACGGCGGCCGGCGCAAGGACGACGGCACGGCCCTCAAGCTCTCGGGCCGCTTCGCGACGCACGTCAAGGGGTACGCAGAGCAGTGCAAGCTCTTCAGCGCCTCGGGGGAAGGCGACGTCCGGCCGAGCCCGGCGTCCGACGGGTTCTGGTTCAGCAACAGCTCGATCGCCGGCATCCGTGCCACATGCCGCCGCGAAACGGCGGGACTTGCGCAGTGCTGAGATCTTGGATGTAGCTTGTAGGGTCGCCGCTTGCATAGCTAGGGTGCCCACAGGACCCAAAAGAAAATAGGTTTCCCGGCAAAAGAAAAAATCCCTTCGCTCGCGGTCTCCCTCTTTACTTGTGACTTCGACACTTTGGCAAACGGGGTTCTTTTTCTCGCGATGTCTGCCTCGCCGCGCCGCCGCTCGCGCCGCCTCGCCGCCGCTTCCGCCGCCGCCCCCTCGCCAGACACGCCGCCGCCCGCCCGCCTCCTCGACCTACCCACGGAGCTCGTCCTGCGCGCCATCTCTCGCTGCGACCCCGCCGACATCGCTCGCGTCGCGGCCGTCTCGCTGCTCTTCCACGCCTCGCTTGCGCTGGAGGGCATCCGCTTGTGGGCGCAAGAGCGCGGCTTCGAGCTGCCGGCGCAGCCGGAGGGCGAGAGCTGCGCCGTGCGGTGGCTGTGCTATTCTGCGCTGCTGTGCGAGGCCAACCCGCCGGCGAGGGCCGCGGCAGGCCAGTATCACAGCGTCTTCATCGACGGCGAGGGGCGGCTCTCATCGTGCGGCTGTGCGCCGGATCACGTTCCAGGCCTTCTTGGCCACGGCCAGGGCGTGCCGCGGCTCAACACGCCGACCCGCCTCCCCTCGACGCTGGGAGGCGAGCGCGCCGTGAGCGTGTCGGCTGGAGCATTCCACAGCCTCGCCCTCACCGCCGGCGGCGCTGTCTGGAGCTGGGGCAATGGTCTCTACGGCAAGCTGGGCCACGGCGATGAGCAGGACCAGCGGCAGCCAACGAAGATTGCGGCCTTGGCTGACCAGCGTGTCGTCGCTATCTCGGCCGGAGGTCTGCACAGCCTCGCTCTCACCGCCAACGGCGCCCTCTGGAGCTGGGGCGATGGAAGCTATGGCCAGTTGGGCCACGGGGACGAGCAGCACCAGTGGCAGCCGAACACGATCGAGGCCTTGGCTGGGCAGCGCGTCGTCGCCGTGTCGGCTGGACTCGAGCACAGCACCGCCATCACCGCCGATGGCAGCGTCTGGAGCTGGGGCGGTGGAAGCTTTGGCAAGCTGGGCCACGGCGACGCGCAGAACCAGCTGCTGCCGAAGAAGGTCGAGGCTTTGGCTGGCCGGCGCGTCGTCGCTATGTCGGCTGGAATCGCGCACACCCTCGCCATCACCGCCGACGGAGCCGTCTGGAGCTGGGGCAGTGGAAGCTTTGGCAACCTGGGCCACGGCGACCAGCAGCGCCAGCTGCTGCCCAAGAAGATCGAGGCCTTTGCTGGCCAGCGCGCCGTCGCTGTGTCGGCTGGAGGCTTCCACAGCCTCGCCAGCACCGCCAACGGCACCGTCTGGAGCTGGGGCTGGGGAGCCTCAGGCCAGCTGGGCCACGGCGACACGCAGCCACAGCTGCTGCCGAAGAAGGTCGAGGCCTTTGCAGGGCGGCGCGTCGTCGCTGTGTCGGCTGGACGCGAGCATAGCCTCGCCACCACCGCCGACGGCGCCGTCTTTACCTGGGGCAAGGGCGAATGCGGCTGCCTAGGCCACGGAGAGGACCTGTCGGACCAGCTGCTGCCCAAGAAGATCGAGGCGTGGGCGCCGGGGCAGTGATGAGAAGGGCGAAAGGGTGCACATGACTGAGCGAGGCGCACGATCGAGGCCTGGGAGGTGTCGCACCCGCACAGGCTGCGCGTGCAGCACACGCTGACGCGAGAGCCGGCGGGGTCCAGCTGGACGAGCCGCCGCGGCCGCATCGACGCGGCGTTCCTGCGCGAACACTTGCCGCCGCCCCCGGCCGACGTGCTCACATCATCTTTGTCTGCGGCCCACCGGCCATGTGTACGACGCTCTCAGGCGCCCGCACCGAGCCGGCGCTGAACGGCCTCCTTGCCAGGCAGCATGGGATAATTACGTACGAGTATAGTGCCAGCCAGGTGTGGTGAAGTTCCAGCGGAACGGCTGTCGGCTCTAGAACACGGCTTTACTTTTGAGCACGTGAAAAGAGTATCGCACACAAGTGTGTCGCACACCAAGTCGGGCCCGCAACGAGATCGACCCTCCACCGCGCTCGAGCACACCTTTTTGCTCTCACTGAGGCTGACGCCCCGCCCCGTGGTGCGATGACTTTGTACACACTCTCAGTCGCGGGTCCCTCCCGCTGCCGCCTCCGCCTGCTGGCGCGCCTCGCGCCTCGCGCGCTTGGCCTCGTGCGTCGCCGCCTTCGCCTCGACGCCGTCCGCAGTCGGCCGCTGCAGCACCGGGATGTACTTGCCGCCGCGCGCCGCTCCCGCCTCCTCCCCGCCCGGGCTGCGGCCGCCCTCGGCAAGCAGCTCCCCCCACGCCACTAGCGACGTGCGGCCTCCGCCGCCGCCGCCTTCGCCGCCGCCAGCCCCGCCGCCGGCCCTGTCGCTTGGCGCCGGCCGTGCCACCCTGGCGCTGAGCAGAGAGGAGCGCATGGTCAGCAGCATGGCGGAGCGCAGCGTGGCCGCCTCCGCCTCGCGCCGCCACAGCGCCGCCACCGCCGAGAGGGACTCGTCGGCATGCGGCGTCCAGCGCAGCCGCGCCTCCGGGTAGCCGATCGAGTGGAGGAGGAGCGGCGCGTCGGGCGCCATGTCGTAGCAGGGCCGGGCGGGGCACTGCTGCACGTCGAGCAGCGAGTCGACCAGCGACGGAGCCTCGCGTCCGGACCCGACGAGGAAGAGAGTGGCGACCATGCACCGCACCTGGAGCGGGAGGGTGGGGTCAACAAGCGGGCTCATCGCACCTACTGACGACTCGCGACGGGCCACGCTGCCGCGCCTGGTGCCAGAGAAACGCAGACCCGTCGATGACAAAGACCCAAGGAGCGAGCGGGCACTCGTCGTCGTCGTCGGCGGCGGCGGCCCCTGCCCGCCCCTCGCCGGCGAGGCCTGCCCGCCCCTCGCCCGCCCCTCGCCTGCCCGCCCCTCCCACGGTCCCTGGAGGCGGTTCGACTGGCCGCACCTCGAGGGCGGAGATGCGAGATCAGCCGAGATGGAGGGGGAGGTCTCGCCGAGAGGGGAGGGGGGGGGGGGGGGGGCTCGAGGGGAGCGGGCGTCAGGGAGGTGTGCCGAGATCTGGCCGAGATGTGGCAGAGAGGCAGAGGTGGAGGGGGGAGGCCGCACCTCGAAGGCGGAGATGCGGCGCACGAACGAGCTGACGTTCGGGTCGAGCTTGCAGAAGTTGCGGTAGTCGTGCTCGCCTGAGCTCACCATGAGTCAACCACCAATTACCTCGGCTGCACCCTCGGCTGTCTCTCGGCTGTCTCTCGGCTGCCTCTCGGCTGCCTCTCGGCTGTCTCTCGGCTGTCTCTCGGCTGCACCTCGGCTGCACCTCGGCTGTCTCTCGGCTGTCTCTCGGCTGTCTCTCGGCTGCACCTCGGCTGCACCTCGGCTGTCTCTCGGCTGTCTCTCGGCTGTCTCTCGGCTGCATCTCGGCTGCATCTCGCCGACGAGTCGGCGCGCAGCATCGCGCATCGCTGCGATGTCGAGCTTGCCGCGCGCGAAGAAGTAGTGGTACCTGCTCGTCACCCAGTGTGCCAACTAGTAACCGACGACGAATCAGCCACCACGGAGGCGTAGCGCGCGACCTGCTCATCCACACGCCCTCCTCAGCCATCCCTCTGCCCGCCTCGCCTCAGCCGCGGAGCAGCGGCCGCGGCACGTCCGCGACGTGGCGTCGAAGCGCGCCGAGAAGTCCGCCGCCACCTATCATAATAATAAGAGTACGAAGAAGGAGAGAAGAAGAAGAAGAGTACAAGTAGTCCGCCGCCACCTAAAACAACAATCACGATTAAATGAGAATAGAAGAAGAAGAAGATGAGAAGAACAGAGCTCGGCCGGCGCCGGAGCCCACGAGACGACCCGCACGTCGGGCGGCAGCACGCGGTTGAGCACACGCACGTAGTCCATCTCCCCCGCCACCACGCCCTCGGCTGCCCCGCCCTCCCCTCCTCCTCCCTCGCAAGCTGCCCCCTCCCCACCTACTCCCTCGGCCGGTGCAGCCGCTACGCCGTCGCCGGACGCCGCCGCATCGCCGCCGCCCGCGCCGCTCTCACCGCCCGCCGCCGCCGCAGAGGCCGCCGGCGGAGGCTCTGCCGCCGGCGGAGGCACCACCGAGGAGCGGACCCGCAGCGCCACGACCTGGCCGAGGGCGGAGACGCCGCGGTCGGTGCGGCCGCCGCGCGAGAAGCCGCAGCTGTCCCGGTCGGCGATGAGCCTCGTCTTTGTGAGCGCCTCGAACAGCACCCCCTCCACCGTCTCGACGCCCTCAGCGTACTGCATGCCGTGGTAGCGAGTACCGATGTACGCGACCCGCAGCGCGACCCACCGCTGGCCGTACCGGCTCATGTCGAAGGGCCGCGCCTCGCCGCGGCGCTTCTTTCGCCCGGTGCTCGCGCCGGGCGCCGCCTCGGCCGGCGCGGGCTCCAACGGGTGCTTGGCACCGGCGCCACTCTCGCCTGCAGCAGGCGCATCGGCGCGAGCGAGGAGCTGGTCAGCGGACGCCAGCAGGTGCACGAGCTCCTCGCGCGAAAGAGATGACAGCCGGTCGCGTCCGCCTGCCAGGAGCTTGCGGGCGGACGAGACGAGACGGCTGCTCATGGGGTTGCTAACACTGAAGAATTCGCCTTGCGTCTTGCCCGCAACCCGACACCGATCATCCGGCCCGCTGGGTGCGCTTCTCGACTTCTCAGCTCCTCGGCCCTGGATGTGAGGTTAATAACTGCACTCCAAGTGCTCCAAGTGCAGTGCGTAAAAACCAACACTGTTGGGGTATCCCAATATTTATGTATGTAAAAAGGAGAGCGCAAAGATTTCGTCAGGGACGGGGAACTGGAAACGAATCGGAATAACACAGAGGTACCGACCACACGCGGGAGCCGCCTAATGAATTCACGACTTTCCCAGTGTGCTCCGCGCGCGCCGCTCTCCAACACAATCTTGCAGTAGACAGTACACACACAACAACCGCTCTGACGCGATGGCAACCCCCAAACCTACACGGATCTGTCTGCGCAAACCGCGCCTCGGGTTGACTCGCTTCAGCGGCGCGCCTTCTTCCAAGCCCTCTCCGCCTCCGTTGGCTGCTCCGGTCGGTGGTGGATCTCGGCTCCGGTCGGGCGCGGGGGGGGCACATCCGCCGTGATGCGGTAGCTCGACGGAGACGTCCACTCCACGCCGTCGGTCGATCTCGGGACAGCGAGGCGGGCCTTGGTCGACGCCTCGGCCTCGTCGTCGGTCGTGGCGAGGAGGTGGACCTTTCCCTTGGCGTCGCTGAAGCGCACCTTGCGGTCGTCGGCAAAGAACCACCACTGCGCCTCGTACTCGGACGGGGTGATGGTCGAGAGGTCAATCGGCGTGCCGTCAGCCTTGTCCGAGTCGGCGGTGACGATGAGATGGTGCGCCGCCGTCGGCAACTCCTTGTCGCGCTGCGTCACAAGGATCGGCGGCAGCTTCTCGGCGCTCGGGCGCCAGATGCAGAAGTCGAGCTTGTAGTGGCACGCGAGGTGCCACAGGCAGAAGAGGTCACCAGGGTAGTTGCCCTTGATGAGCGCGATGTACTGCTCCTTCCAGTCCGACGCCGGGGCCTCGTGCAGGAAGCCGGCGACCTTTGCGTTGCGCTCTTCCTTCTTGGCGCAGTAATTCAGGACCTGGGCCGCGCAGACGGCTCGCAGCTGCGCCGCCGCGTCGTTCAAGGTCAGGAGGCGGCTCTTCAGCGACTTCTGACCCCACGCGAGCTTCGCGACGGCGTGGAAGAGTGAGGCGTACCCCTCCGTCTTCATCTGGCACGCGCCGAGCCGGTACTTGGAGAGCATCTCGGCGCTCAGCGCGTTGAGCTGGGCGACGGACATGTCGCCGCGCAAGAAGTTCTCGGAAGGATGCCACCACTTCGGCGCGTCCTCGCGCACGAGCGAGAGCGCCGGCATCTTCTGCGCCGGACTGCCAAGGTTGGCGCCACTCCCGGCCTGGCGCACGACAGCCTCGCGCAGCCGCCGCATGTCAACGTGCCGCGCCGCCGCCCTGCCGAGCTCCTCGGGATCGGACTGCTTCTCGAGCCGCGTCCAGAGCGAGTGCAGCGCCGCGTTTTGGCGGCGGAAGTCGTTGATGTAGCGCGAGAGTTCGCGCCGCAGCGCCGCATTCGACTTCATCTGGTCCGTCTGCACGATGTGCTGGAGGAAGGCGCGGAGCAACTGCTTGATCAGGCCGCCGCCCATGCGCTTGCGGCCCTCAGTCAGGTCGGCCATCAGCAAGCCGAACTGCGTGACCGTGAACTTGGACAGCGTCGTTGCGAGCTGGTGCCTCCACGCCTCGCGCGTCGTCTCCAGGTTGTTCTCGATGAGGGCGTGCACCTCGCCGAGGCTTGATTGATCCGTCGCCTTCTTGAGCACCTTGTCGCGCAGCGCCGTGACGCGCTCTTTCGCCGCGAGCTTGTTGAAATACGCCGCAACGTCGCCGTTCTGCAGGTCGACGGGCGGCGAACGCTTAGGCATGAAGAAGCACTTGATCGAGAAACGCTCGTCGAGCAGCGCGTGGACGTCGCAGGTCATGAAGCTCTCCTTGAGGGTCTCGACGACGACATCTTGCGTGTCGACGCCGTTCACCTGCAGCGCCTGGTCGACGGAGGAGACGAGCAAGTCGATCACGAGCTCCTTGAAGTCCTGCAGGAAGTCGTGCAAGATCGACTCGGGCTCGTCATTAGCGAGCTGCGAGAAGTCGACCCGCACAAGGCTGCGCGAGCCGAACACAACCGGCAGGATCTCTTTGCCCTTGAGGAGCCCGTTGTGCTTCGGGTCGATCGCCATCATCGCCGTCGAGTAGTGCCTTAGGCTGTTCTTTAGCGTCGGCCACGACTGCGACGACCGCTCCTCCGCCCTTGCGAGGAAGTCCGCGATCGCCTCCCCCTCCTCGACAAAGTTAGCGACGAGATTTTCGATCTTGCTGCGGTACCCTTCGCCAAAGGGTGGCGGGGATGGCGACAAGGGGGGCGACTGCTCCGTGAGCTCGAAGCCAACGGGGGTGCGGCGAGGGAAGAGGGCGGTGTCAATGCGGCCCGTGGTGTCGAGCTTGCGCAGCTTTTCCCTCAAGTCTTCCACAAGAGTCCCAAACGGTCCCGTGAGCCGGTTCGCGCCCTTGAGCCAGGACTGCGCCATCTCCACGAGCTTCGACGGCAGGCCCGCGTCCGTGTGAGCCGCATCGTCGAGGCCGCTCTGAAGCTTCTGCAGCAGTTCGGGGATCGTCTTCGTCACGAGGCGGCCGAGCTCTCGGACGTAGTAGTCGCGGTTGAGCGCGTCGAGCACGCCCGAGAACCAGTACATGTTGGAGTGGGAGAAGACGCCCTCGGCTAGTGCCTTGTTGTCCGCGTTCTTCTCGACGAACTCGGTATGCAGCTTGCATGCTGTGTGCGACATCGGGTAGATGGCGCGCATCGGCGTGCTCGCCACGATCTGCGCGATCTCCTCCTCGGTCCGCGCTGGCTCCTGCCGATTCTGAGCGGACCTGTTCACGTCGCTCAGCATCTTCTTGAACTTCTTGCGCGTGTTCTCCTCGAGCGCCCGTCGCGTCTCGGCCTCCGCCTCCGTGTCGATGTCCGAGATCTTCAGCTGCTGGCTGAGCTCGCGGTTGAAGAGGAAGACGAGCTTGAGCGGCTCGTCGGCATGCAGCGCGCGGGCCAGCAGGCCGCTGTCCTTCAGGAGCTTGACCGTGTTGTTGTCGCCCGCGATGTCCCGCTTGAGCACGACGAAGACGGCGCCCGCTCGTTCGATGCCCTCCCGGATCTGGCGCATGCTGCCTGGGTCGGCGTCGTTGTTCCCGGGCAGGTCGATGAAGCCACAGCCGCCCTCGAGGACCGCCGCGGGGACGAAGAGCTCAACCGTCTTCGCGACCACCCGCTCGAGCCGCTCATCATCGTTCATCGTCTCGAGCACCTCGTGGATCTGCTTGCGGTCGTGGTGCAGAGACCGGCCCTCGCCGCAGTACAGCGTGTGGGGCGAGCTCGTCAGCTTGAGCACCGCGTCGCAGACCTTGACCTCGCTCCAGCTTTCGGGCAGCTCGTCGGCCGCCGGCAGCTCGTCCGACAGCTCTGGCAGATCGGTTGTCTGGCCCTGCGTCACCTTGAGGAACGTGTGCCACGCCTCCTTGAGCTCGTCCTTCTGCTTCTCGTTCTCGATGTCCTCGGGGTCGTCGTCGCCGAGCTCGCGCCGGATCGCCACGAACAAGAACGCCTGCTGCTTCAGCTCGGCAACGGTGTACTTGCTCACGAGCATGTGCACGCCGCCGCCGTAGCGCACAAACGTGTGGATCGCGGTGGTGGCGTGGTCGTCACGGCCCGTCGGCAGCAGGAAGTGCGCCTTCTTGAAGCTCGGCCGCATGTGCCCGGGGCTCTCGGCGTACGAGCGGAAGTCGTTCTCCAGCTGCGCGATGTCGGCGCCCGCCTCTGCCGCCGCCGCGTCGTCGTGTTCGAGAACCACGACCTCGGTGCCCTTGGAAGACAGCAATGTCTTGTCGGCGATGAGCTGCGCGAGAGTCGGCGGGTCGGCCTCGGCGGTGGAGAACAACTTGTTGACCGCCTCGAGCACGTAGCCCTGGTCGAGGCGCGGCTTGTACGCGTTGTCGTCCTCGAGCGTGTTGTAGATGGCGACGTCGACGAGCGTGCTCTTGCCGACGCCGTTGTCGCCGAGGCACACCGCGTCGAGGCCTGCGCCGTCCACGAGGCGGCGCCGGTAGCCTTCGAGCGGCTCGGAGTAGGAAGAGAGGTCGAGCTTCTCCGGGATGTTCTCCTTGCTCCACCTCTCCGTCTCTGCACTGGGCGGGGCGGTGGATGGGTGGGTGGGTGGGTGCGGCGCGCCCGCGGTGGCCAGGGGGGTCGGTCGCGGTGGCTAGGGGGGGCGGTCGAGGCTGGCAGCGGCGTGTGAGCGGTGGCGGGGTGGTCGTGGGGCGGACGTACCGCTGATGGTGGTGACCGTGTCCTTGAGGCTCGTCTCGAGGTCGTCCTTAAGGTCAGGGAGCTGCGTCTCGTCGGCGGCGAGAAGCGCTTCCTCCGCGTCGGCGAGCACCTCCGGGTCGGACGACACGACGGCCTCGGCCGGCTCCGCCGCTGCCGCCGCCTCGTCGTCCGGCACCAGCGCGTGGTACGAGCCCCCAAACTCGGCGAGGCGGAGCGGCTCGACGGTGCGAGGCATGTGCTTCGGGTTGACGAGCAGGACGTTCTTCTCCGACGCGGCGCCGGTGAAGACCCAGATCGGGCGCGAGAGCAGGACGCTCGCCGCCGCCAAGAGCGCCGTCGGCGTCGGCGGGTCGTCGTCGTCGTCGTCGTCGTCATCGATGATCGCCACCCGGCTCGGCGACTTGCGCTGCGCGCGCTCGGTGAGCGGGTCGACGCAGCGCCGCGACACCGCCGATATGGCGGCGCTCTGAATCTCGTTCTGCGAGATCTCTTGCTCGAGCCGCCTCGCGGCCTGCGAGACGGCGTCGAACAGGCTGGATCCAGGCGGCGCTGCAGGCGCTGAGCTCGAGCCGCCGCTCGCAGCGACGGCGACGACGCGGCGCGCGAGTTTGTGCTCTGCGAGCCTGTGGGCGGGACGCAACACTCAGCGCGGAACTGCGGGTGGGCAAGGAAGGGGCGGGATGGCAGCACACGTCTGGTCCAGCCGAGCGAGCTCCTCGGCAGAGCCCGCCTGGCCGCAGTGCATGAGGTAGTCCGCCCCGCCCATCACGCTCGCGTCGGACACGAGGTTCGGCCCCCTCAGCGTCATGTCCTGGCCCGTATAACGCTCGCAGTGCGGGCGCTTCTCGAGCCACGCCTCCGCGCCCTCCTCAGTCGGAAGGCTCCGCGTCGACACCTTCTTTTGCGTGCGCGTGTTCCACATCGCGACGCGAGCCTCGCCGCGCCACTTTGAGGGCGGAAACTCGCCCGTCGCGATCACGCCGTACAACACCTTTGCCAGCCCCGGCCCGATCTTGGCGACTGAGCGCAGGTCCTTCTCCGTCGCTTTGCAAAGCTCAGCCTCCGTTTTGAACGCCTCCTGCAGGCTTGCCTGTCTCTTCGGGCCGAACTGATCGATTCTCCCGAGCCTCCGCACGAGGTCGGCCGACGGCGGCGAGATTGGCGACGTCGGCGGCATCATCGGCCGACTGGGCGGCGGGACACCAAAGCGGTCGTGTCGCGGTCAGCAGCCCCACAATTTTTCTTTTTTTTGAGAGCGCCTTCGTTGTTAATAGTACAAACCCAATGGTCCCTTGCGAGCGGTCCGTCGTTGCAGTCGCACACGCTCACACGCCACGCCGCACCGCGCGCCCACCCGCTGCCCCGCCCAGGCGGGAAAGAGAGGAGGAGATGGGACAGCGAAGGAGGAGTACGAGCACGTATGGGAGGGTTCAGTAATGCGTCACGCTGCCCGGCGTCTCTCACTTTCCGGGACAGCCCCGCCCTTTCGAGGCGGGAAAGTGACGGCTACCCCGTACGCGCCTGCTGCTCTACTCGTCGCCGACCGCCCATTCCCCCCTCCTCGTTCCCCCCTCGAATTCTCCGGACCCCGACAAGCCGCCCGACGTTGGGCCTCTGCCCCGCACGCTCCCGCCCCTTCTGCCCCTCACACACACCCAGGCCCGACATGCACATACAAGACAAACCCGGCGTCCTGCTCTCAAAAGAAAAGAAAAAATGGGAAGGAGGAGACCAGCGGGGGAGACTCCCCGCCTATGCAACACCCCAGAGAGGGGCTGCCATCGCCGAAGCTGTGCCTAAGCATAACTCCCAAACCCGCAGCGGCCCGGGGGGCCTTGGGGGCAGCCTGCCGGACCGCTGTTGCACGGGGCCAAGCACCAGAAGATGAGTGGAATTGATGGATTGGGCCGTTGTCCGTGCCTCCCCTCTATACGTCAGAGTGGGACCTACGCCGCGCCGGGTAAGGGGCGCGCCCGGTCCTCGACGGAGCCGCGCGCCCCAAACGACCCAGGCGGCGAGTAGTCGTCCTCGAACCGTCGACTCGTAGTCGCCCGTGGTCAGCGCCCCTCCTCCCTCGCCCGTCCCTACTCATACTGCACCCGAGGCGCCCGCGGCATCTCGCCGCCCATCTTCGGCCACGCGTTGTAGTCGAAGATGGCGGCGTTGCGCCTCGCGACGATGGTCGAGTGCACTTGCAGGAATTTTTTCTCTTTCTCATCTCGAGATACCTGGTTGTCTGCTCTATTTATCCTCCTTCTCCTATGAGCTCGTATGCCACGTCGCCGCCTGTGTTTGGGTTTCTATGTTTGCGATTTGGAATTTGGTATTTGTCCAGCTCTTTGTTTATTTATTTATGAGACCTCGAGAGAAGGCCGCCCGCAGGTCAAGCCAAGTTGGCTTTCTTTTGGCGGGCAATTTTACGAGCGAAGGCGGTCCACACACACGATAAGAAAAAGAATTCCGCGTGGCGACACTGGGGTCTGGGCAAAGAATTTTACGACGAAGAAAATGCCCTCTCCCACCAGCACGCTGCACGGGACTGGCACTAACACAGAGCCTCCGCCCGTCGACTTCCCCTCCTCCATTCCGTCGCCCGCAGCGCAAGGGCCAAGGCTCCCTCTGGGTTATTTATTGTGAAATGCTCTCCGGAATCCCGCGCGTCGTCATCCAGCGGCGGAACCCGTTGGCTAGCTCGGGCGTGAGGGTCGCGCGGCGCGGCGCGCGTTGGGCTCCGACGTTCCCCTCAAAGAAGAGGGGGCCCTGGTCGGTGATCATCGCGTCCCAGCCGACGCAAGTGAGCCACTCGAGCTCGGACGCGTCGTGCGCCGCCATCGCCTTGAGGCAAGCCTCGCGCGCGCCGGGGACGCGCTGCCCCACGAGCGGCGCCGCCATCGAGCAGAAGCCGGGCGCGTACCACGCGGCGGGCGCGACGAGCGTCTCACTCGCTGCGAGCGACGGAGGGGGCAAGGCAGGGGAGGGTGGCGGGCGCGCGGGTTGGGCGGGGCGCGGCTGCGCTGTGCGGGGGCGGGGCGGGGCGAGGGGCCAGCGAGAGGCCAGCGGCGGGCCTATATCGACGAGGTAGCCGGCCGTGGCCGAGTGGGACGTCCAGGAGGGGCAGTCGGTCCACAGGACGAGCGAGAGGACCTGGGGAGTGTCTCCAGTGTCTCGGGAGTGTCTCAGAAGTGTCTCGCCACAAGACGAGCGACAGGACCTTGGCGCCCTCGCGCGTGCGCAGCGTCACGATGTCGAGCGAGTGGACGGCGCTGAATCCTAATATTGAATATAATAATAATAATAACACGAAGAACAATAATGTCGAGCAAGTGGACGGCGCTGTATCCGTCGCTCGACACGGACGCCTCGAGCCCCGCACATGGCTGCACCATCTCGCACAGCACCGCTGGCCTGCCCGCGTAGCGCGCATCTCCGCGCAGAGCCGCCTCGATGTCGCCGCGCGTCGCAAAGTCGACGCCACGCTTGAAGACGAGGTCGCCTAGGACAGGCCCGGGGGAGGTCCGGGAGAGGGTCGAGGAGAGGCGGGGAGGCTGTCTCGTGCCGCGGTCGCCGATGCCGAGGTACGAGTCGGAGATTTTGCAGACGAGGTCGCAACCGCCGCTCTCGACGCCGCGGCCCACGTCGCGCAGCGCGTGGCCGTCCCACGACCCGAGCTGCAGCGGCCTGCGGCGAGGAAGAGAGGGATGCGGCGATGAGGAGGTAGGGGGGGGAGAGAGAGCGAGGCAGCGAGGACGAGGACAGCGCGGAGGCTGCGGCCTGCGTGCTCCAACGCCGTCAAGCAGGCCGTACCAGTACTCCTTTGTGCAAATGGTGTAGTGAAGAGTGTGGTCGATGGCGACGCGGTTGTCGCCGAAGAGCACAAAAGCCGCCACCCAGTCGGCAAGCGGCCTGAACGCGTCGTAGATGATGGCGGCGGCCTTCGACGGAGGTGGTTGGTACCAAATACACGGCTCCTCGCCGAATCGAGGATCCCACTCATCCTCCCTCATCACAAACTGCTTCAGCCGCTCGCCCCACGCAATCGCAGCGAGGACCGCCGGCGTGACCGGCAGGAGGAGCGTCATGGCCGTGCCTGTGAAGCCGCCGTGCCAAAGTCGGTTGTACTGCAGCGCGAAGCGAGCCAGTCGCAGCGGCTGGGTCGCGAGGCAGTAGCAAAAGAGAGCAGTCGCAAGTGCAAGGCGACTGAGCATGTCGGCGGTGCTGTACCACCCAGCGGCCGGCGGCCTCGCCTCGAGCTGAGCATTAAACCCCCACGGCACAGCTCGCATCTTGCAGCAAGGCCTCCACTCAAATTGATCTCACGCTAAGTACAAAAAGAATTTAAGCAGTTGATCTTGGCACGGCAAAACAGAAGTCTCAACAAAAACAAAATAAGTTTTTCGTCAGGGTTGCCCGGCCGGGTTGCTGCGCAAATCTCGCGCTGCGCTAGGCCCAGAGCGAGTTCGCGCTGCGCTAGGCTCAGACGGCGTGCGTGCGCGGGCCGCCGGGGTGAGGACCACCCCACCTAGACCTTCCCACGCCCACCTCCTTCGGGCTCGGCAGCTTGTCGGGCTCTACCTCAGCCCTCAGCCGAAGCTGGGGCCGGTCCCGTAGGCCGTCCGTAGAGCCGAGAGAGCCCCCGCGTCCCGATGAGCGATGAATTCGCGGGGTCGGTCCTCGAGGGTCGGTCGGCGCCGTCGGGCGGTCCTCGGGGGCTCGCGGGGGGTGGCGTGGGAGCTGGGAGCGCAGCATTCCCAGCCCTTGAGGGCGGGTTTTGATTAGTAGAACAGTCCCTTGTGTCGCTGGTGCGCTTGGTCCTTCTTTGAAGCTATTTATACACCCTCACGCTGGAAGTGGCGAATCGATGCGAGCGCGCCGCGTGCTCAACGCGCGGCGCGCTCGTATCGACTTGGAGTCCAATGCGCGCAGCGGGCGGGTAGCACCTCGGGAGCTCGCTCTACCCGGGATGCGGAGAACTGCCCACAGGAGCGAGAATGTTCGACGGCGAGAATCTATCTGCCGCGTCTGGCGTCTGGCGCAAAAGGTCGCGCAGTCGTCCGCACCTGCGGAGGCCGCCGCAACTGGCTAAGGTGTGGGTGTGGGTGGGTGGGTGTGGGCGGTGAGGGCGGCGGCTAGAGGGCGAGGGGCCAGGGGGGGGGGGGGGGGGG